GCCCTGCCATAACGCCATCGAAATATGAAGCTATTCATCCGCTGCTTGTCCGGGCGCCGCGACGCCCATCCGAGCGGCGCGCGCGCCCGTCGATCACCATTGGCCCATCGCAGCCGCGCGCTGGGGTCGCTCCGTGGAAAACCAGGGCCACCTCAGTCTCGGAGCCGATGTAGCCGCTGGAATTGCTCTGGATCTCCACATGGTTTCCGAGTTCACCCATGCATGGCGCACCCCATTCACGCAGCGACTTCAACTTGCGCCCCATTTGTCGCTTGAGTTGTTCTCGAACCCGAGGCCCGCGCGCGGCCTTGCCTGCCGCGGCGGGTCCCCCGCTGCTCAGCGCTGCCATTGAATGCGTGTTCGTGTAATTGCCACTCATGCAGTGCGAAGCGCTGCTGCCACCCTTGCGCCGAACAGCTGTGCAATGGCGAGGACATCCGATCTCTCAAAAAAAACAGCAGCCTTCATCCACGTCGGGAACGTTGACCAACGCCAAAGGCCCATCACTTGCCAATTAGGAGAACATCCAGCACTTGTCCCACGTCGACTGCGTCGCCCAACGCGCGTTCACTTTGCAAGCCCGCCCAATGTCCGCCGGACGCTCCAAGGCTCCTGCTCCAATTCGCGGGCGAGCATGTTTCGCCTGACTGCGCGTGGACCCGCGAACGCACAACGTGCGCTTTGCCATCCCCGTGCCCTTCAAACTTCTGCGAGAGAGACCTCGCGTCGTCTGTGACCTCTGAACTGAGGGCCAATTCAAATGCGTAGTAAGTTCGACCGGTCTTTCATCTGACACAGCTGCCTCAAGAGCCCCCAGCAAAAGGGCGCCGCACATGGGCGGCAGAAAAGTTTTGAGACCAGCGCCTCAGCCGCATGTCTGGGCTTCTTCGGCACCGCGAGGGCCTTTCCCCGCACGTCGTTGCCCATGGCGACGGCTGCAACGTTGCATTGTCGATGTTCCCACGCGAAAGCACATCTTGGCATAACAAACTTCTCATGCAACAGTGAACGTGTTTCAAGCGAGACGCCTTCCCACGCCGCGTTCGAAACCCAACGTCCGATCTCAACATCTAAACGTTCGGATGATGGCTCAGGCGCAGACTTCGCTGCGTAGAGCCAGCTTCGCAAGCCAACCCCTCCAGCATCACCATTATGCGAAGATGTCGCAGGCGAAACGCCCGCCACGCACCCCTGGCCCATGTTCGATACCCGAAGCCCGATCTCAACATCTCAATTTTCTGAGGATGTCTCAAGCGAAAGTCCCGCCCGTGAGAACCAACGTCGAACATCAACGCCTTCGACATCCCTATTTTGCGCGGGCGTCTCAGGCGGAACGCCATTGACGCGCGCGCAAAAACGCGCGCAAACGCACGTGCACACACGCGGACACACGCGCACGAGCACGCACGCGCGCGCGCGCACGCGCGCGCGCACGCACCATCTTCGATATCATGCCCACCCTGGTCGTCGCCCTCCCAATCCAAAGCCAGCGGGCCCGATGGACGAAGAGAGCCCTGGGCCCAGGACACCCCCGGAAATAGAAAGCCTACTCGGAGCGAGCCAACGCGCTCTAATCGCCGGCAGCGCTGGGAGCGCGATATGCCTGGGGAGGGGGAATGCGCGCCTGGAGCGAGCTTCCCGACGGCGCGGCCGCCGTTGCGACGTGCGCCGGCAGCGAGCCAGCGCGCTCGGAGTGAGCGACCCGGCAGCGCCGAGTCAGGGCGCTCGACGCGCTCGCGGAGAGCCGCGGACGAGACGCCAGCCCAGGGCACCTGTAGCCAAGGGGGTACTACACGACAGTAAGAACCCTGTAAGAATGCCCACTTAAGAAACGACGCGGGGAGAAGAAGCCCCAAGAGACGGAAAACACGACATACCCGTGAAACCCAAAGAGACGGAGGAGGAGACGAGCGTAGGAGGGAATCCTCGGCCCTCACCTACCCTACCCGCCCCAGAAGGCCTGGGGCGCGGGCGCAGCCGCGGGCGGCAGTCCTGCCTCCAGGACGCCGACGACGGGCGTCGCAGCGAAGCCGCCGCGCGGCGGCACACAGCCGCTTTCACTCTCGGGAGCGGGGGCGCTCCCACCCGAGCTGGAAGAAGGAGGGGAATCAGGGGGGGGAGCACGCAGCGGCAGGAGCAAAGCTCGAAGGAGCGACGGACAGGGCGGGAGAAAAGACAGACGAGTGGCACGCTAAGGAACTAGGTGCTCTTAACAACTGGACAGAGGCCTCAGGGGTCAACTCAGACACCACATGCACGGGGCGGAACGCCAGGGGGGTAGAGAGCAAAAGAAAGGAAGGAAAACGGTGGGAAATGACAGGAGCGCCAGGCTCTGCGGGGTGGAATGGGGAGCGATGGAGGCGCAGCACAAGCAGCAGCAGCGATCAGGAGCGACGGACAGGAGACCGGCTGGTCCAGCGGCATAGACGAGACAGGGCAGGTGGAACATATACTTCTGTAGATTCTCGCGCGAGCAGGAACGGAGTGGACGCAGGCGAGAGGCGAGGGCAGAGGGGGGGGACGGGTGGGCACGCTACTCCCCAGGGAGTCGCCCACGTCATTTGTCCGCCAGATGAAGCTGACGACGAGGGGGCAATCGGGGCACGCGTGGAGGCTGGGGCCGAGCGCGTCACCGACGCAGGCATGCCAATGGACCGACTCGCGGAAACTGATGTCGTCAACCCAGAAGGCCCACCCGCAGTCACCAAGGTCGACGAGCTGTCGCCAGATAATCCAGCACGTGGCGACGTGATGCCCGAACGCGACAACGGGACTTCCGGCCTAACGCGGGAGGCAGGGTCGTCCGCTACGAGGCAGCCAGAGCGCGGCGACGTTGAGCCCGAGCACAACATCGGGACTTGCGATCTAACGCCAGGGGCCAGCAAGCAATCGACGAGGCATCCGCAGCGCGACGACGGCGAGCCCGAACACGGCAACGGGACTTGCGTTCTAACGCCCACAGTGGGTGACACCATGGCGAACTCAGCAGCAGGAGGCGACGGTGAGCCCGAACACGAAATCGGGACTTGCGATCTAACGCCACTGCATGCGCCCGGCGAGGAAAGCGACGTGCACCCAGCAAGTGGCAACGGCGAGCCCGACACCCACGACGGGACTTGCGTTCTAACCGAGCACGTAAAAGCAGACGATTGGACAGGAATTTGACTCCTGCAGGGCACAGAATAAGGCAATCTGAGGGCGCCCCCAACTCCTGGTCCGCTCGAACACGGCATCGGCGGAGAGCGCGCAGTAGCTGGTGGCACGGCAACCGCCGACGACGACGCTGCAGAAGCACCTCTCGCTAGGCTACATTCTGCTCCACCTCTGACAGGGCCCTCAGCAGGCACTGGTCTGGGCGGACCGTCGGGGGGCGCATCGCGCACTGGATCCGAGGAGCTGGAGTCACACGTCGCGATGGAGTCGGAAGTTGATGAATTACTATGGATGCGAGTGGAGCCTACAATCAACCGCGGCGGCTGGATCCACTTCTGCAACGTCCGCGCAGGGCGCGACATGCGCAGAGACCGCGCGGCAGCAGCCGCGAGCGAGGAAGGAGTTCTTGGGGCAATGGTACCGCCGCTTTCCCTGGGCATGCTAAATATATGGCAAGCAACACGCATCTCCTCAAATCTCTCGGGCGATGGGCCCGCGAGGCCCAAGCGGGCTGGCAGTGAGACAGGTAGGCCTCGACAAAGAGCCCGACCCGTGGCGCGACGCAGCCGCGGGCGCACCAGGTTGCGCGAGAGTCGACCAGGCCGGCTGCGTCCGCGGCGACAACGTAGTAGGCCATCGGGATGCGCAACGCAGGCAGACGTCAACCATCCGTCGCTCCAAGCCCCGATCGCGGCCATGGCCCAGCTCTGCGGGGGGGGGGGGGGGCGCATGAGCGCGCGAGTATTCCCCCAATGGGCACGATGCAGGAAGGGCTCGCAGTCGCACAGATTCCTGCTCAGGCGTCGCTCGATGGCACGGCTCAGCGCGCGCTCAGCCGCGAGAAGGCCCGAAGGAGCGGCGGCAACAGCACGTTGCGGTCGACGGCGACGGTCAGTGCAGGACAGCTCGTCAATGAGAGGAGGCTCGGGCGGCCACCATCCAGTCGCCGGAAGCGAGATTGAGCACTCCGTCGAAGTTCTCGACGAACGCGGGCGCCTTCCAGAACCTGGGGTACAGGCGCGTCCGAACGGCGGCGGAGAGTGCAATATCACCAAGCCCTTCGTCGGCAAGTTCCTGCCGCCAACCAATCGCCGCGGCCCTCGCCAGGTCGAGGTAGGTCGGGAAGTCGCGGAAGGTGATGGCAGCAGCTCGAAGCAGCGCAGCGGAGGCATGAGCCGCCCATGAGGGCAGACGTGGCCCGCCCCGACACTGGAGTTCAGGAACAGCTTCATTGCCGATCATGCCGATCGGGCACCGCAGGACTTGCGAGACGACGCCCCTCTCGAACGCGAGGACAGAAGGCGGCGTCGGGACAAAGTGGGCAACGTGAGAAAGAACAGAGTGAACGCGAGTACGGCGCAGGGCGGAATTAACACGACTCGCCGCACATGCGCGGCTGAGCACGCGCACGCAGCACGCGCCCAGGAATCAACTCCATCGCCAAGCTGGAGACCTTCTCCGAGGCCAGAGGCGGCAGAAGGATGGCGACACCACCCACTCCGCGATCCCCACGATCACAAAAGTTACAGTGGACAATCACATCCGAACGGACTTTGCGCACAAAGTCAATCAATTGAGAACGGTCGCCGTGCACTTCCTGCAGCCCCACAGTACTGCATCCTGACACGCAGCGCATGAGGCAACCCAACTTCCTCTGGCCCTTGGCCCCGCCGTATTGCAGCAGAGCCCTAGCATTCCAGGTAGTGAAGTTCAAAACCGCGCCGCTTGCGACCGCAGGCAGCATGGAGAGGTCAGCGAAGCCGTCAAATTCACCATCGCGTATGGGTCGCGGGAGCCAGAAAGTGGTCGATGGCCTCGGCAAGAGGACGTCGTTCCAGGGCCAGCACCGCGAAGCCCACATCGTTCCAGTGGATCGTGGAGGGCTCGTCGCCAGGGTGGGCCTCAACCTTGAGAACGTCAATGAAGTGAGCCTTGAGGACGCCCCTCTCGCGGTCGACGAACCACCGCCGCTGGGGGAAGGAATCGCCGAAGGAATTGCCGATCTTGCGCGGGAGAATCTCGGCGCGGACTTGCTTGGGACTCCTGCCGGGGCCGAGGTGCAGTCGAGCGGGGTCGGCCCCTTGGACGGCGCAGCGGAATTCCCTCCGCTGGCCGCCCCTCCGCAAGCTGCCCAGGACTCGCTGGACTTTGCGGGGGGCCGCTCCAACCGCACCTTTGAAGGTGATCGAGAACTTCTTGGCAGGGGCGGGGGTGAGCGCGCGGATGTCGCAGTCATCTTCGCGGACATCCAGCTCGGCAAGGAAAGGGCCGATCTCGTCACGAACGCCCTGGCGCCCCACCATCTAGCCACCACGATAACCTGAGACGGGTCAATCTCTCGGTCGAAACCAAGGGGGGACGAAGGGCTTCGCGGGGGCCGCCTTGTCGAGCTCCACTTGCTTGCGGATGTCAGGGATCTCTTTCTGCATAGCCAGGATCTGTCGTTCATGTTCACCCAAGGCATGCTCCGATTCAGAGACGCGCTTGGTGAGCGCATCCGGCTGCATCTGGAATCTCCTGGCGAGCTGGTCAAGCTGGGGGCGAATCGCGGACATGATCTTCTGGTCGTCAGCCTGGGCGTGCCCCGCACCCTGCTGGCGCAGCACATCCAAGGTCTTGAAGATCGGGTCAATGGCAGCCTGAAGGGACGAGGTGACAGCGGCTTTGACCATGCCATCGAAACTGCCTCGCGGGGCAGCGAAGCGTGCCTCGATGTCAGCCTGATACTAATGAATGTTGAAGTCGGGGGAGTCGCCCACGTCGTCGTCGCCATCAATGTGGTACACCTGACGTTCGGCGCGCCCTGGGGGTGCAGCGCGAGCAGTGCCATCATCACGCGGAGGAAGCTGAGCCGCCACTAGAACGCTTGGGCCTTCCCGTGCGGTTGGGCTCCCCACCCTTGGGGCGGAAGTGGCCACGTCGTTCAGCATCCACTGCACTGTTGTCACTGCGTGAGACAGAACGGGAAGGAAAGGCCCTGCGACTGCCATCGGACATCTGAGAGGAAGGCCGCAAGGAGGCCCGTGCAGTGCTGGCAGAGAGGGGCGTCGAGCGCAAGCGCTCTGGCACTGCCGCGGACTAATGGTATCCGTTTGTCTCCTTGGGGGAACTTGCATCTTGAGCCAAAATAGCTACGGAAGAGACGGAGGAGGAGGGAGACGGAGGAGGAGGAAGAGGAGGAGGAGGAGGAACTACAGGAGGATGACAACGATAAAGGCGAGGAAGAACATTGGGAAAGAGGTGCGACACAGATGCGCCTAACAGACAAATGTCCATCGACTTTACGGTGGCACGAACTTTCTCTGCAACGACAGGCCCAAACGACCCTCCCGGCCAACCCCCAAAGATCTGGCCAACCCTCCTCTGGCCAACCCTGGTTAGACCAATTCTTTCCAGCCCTGCGATCCAGCATGAAAGGCACCTCAAATCACGAGGACGTCTTCGAGACCCAGGGTGAGGATGATGGACAGCGAAGCCCACCTTCACATGCGCCACCACTACAGCGTTCCGAGAAAATCCAGAAAATGGAATGGCGACAGTTCCACATTTTCTAGCAATCTCCGCTTTCACAATGTTGCCAACGCCGGGACAACCGGGACGATTTAGCCGCCCTGATTGTACCGCGTCAGGGCCTGAGCGGACTCCTGCACGCATGCAGCGGTGAAGGGAGGAGTGGCCGCTGAAGAGGAGACGGGAGGAGCCGCGGATGAGCACGAGGAACCTCACGCACGGCGCAGGCGCGCCTGAGGGGCCAAAAGCGGGCGCAAACAGCAAACAAACAATCGAGCCCGCCCCCCCGTTCCCTCTGGCCCCCTCTGCTCCTCGCGCATAGACGTGCGCGCCGCACAGGACACCCCTCCCCACATGCGGCTGGATCGGCTGCACGTAATGGCGACCCTAAGCAACAGTGACCGTTGGTACGCGGCCTGCCGCGATGCGATAGCAGCGACCTGCGCGCTCGGGGTTGACATCCTCGCGCACCCTGGAAGCCGCGCACCAAAGGTCACTCCGAGTCTGGCGAAGGGCCAGTCTCACATGTAGCCGACCAGAGGGCGGGGAGGCGCCCCACGGCCACCACGTGTTCATCAGCAGCGTCCGCTGCCTCTCGGGCGGAGGGAGCTCGTCGGACGCCGCGAGGCGGAGGACATTCCTGCAGGCGTGCGCGGCCTGCTCCTGCCGGGGGGCAGTCGACCGCTCGCTTCCCTCGACGACCATGCGTCCGTCGGCGGGGGACCATCAGTGCGCGTGCACTTTGGAGGCCCCTTCCCATCCCTGGGGCCCCATCCCTCGGGGCCCCATCTTCGAACCGCCGAACGAGGAGGAGGAACCCGATCTCCGACGCAACGTTTTTTCCCAACCATCCTGTGGTGTTGGGTCCTCGTTTTGAAGAGACAGCGCCCCGAGTCCCACCTCCTTCCTCCTTCCTCCTCCACCTCCTCCCCCATCCTCCCCCTCCTGGCCTCTGCTCTTCGCATGTCTCTGCTTCGGCACACACAGTACAGCGTTTGGTGGTCCCATAGGGAGCTCCACCGAAGGCCCCAGTGGGGGGGGCCACATGCGGCCCCCACGCCCAGGACAGCGCTTCATGGCCCCATAGGGAGCTCCACCGAAGGCTCCAGTGGGGGGGGCCGCATGCGGCTCCCACGCCCAGGACAGCGTTTCGTGGCCCCACAGGGAGCTCCACCGAAGGCCCCAGTGGGGGGGGCCACATGCGGCTCCCACGCCCAGGAGAGCGTTTCGTGGCTCCACAGGGAGCTCCACCGAAGGCACCAGTGGGGGGGGCCACATGCGTCCCCCACACCCAGGACAGCGTTTCGTGGCCCCACAGGGAGCTCCACCGAAGGCCCCAGTGGGGGGGGCCACATGCGTCCCCCACTTCCAGGACAGCGTTTCGTGGCCCCACAGGGAGCTCCACCGAAGGCCCCAGTTGGGGGGGAGCCACATGCGTCCCCCACGCCCAGGACAGCGTCTCGTGGCCCCATAAAGAGCTCCACCGAAGACCCCAGTGGGGGGGGGCACATGCGTCCCCACGCCCAGGACGGCGCTTCTTGGCCCCACAGGGAGCCCCACCGAAGGCCCCAGTGGGGGGGGCCACATGCGTCCCCCACGCCCAGGACAGCGTTTCGTGGCCAGGGAGCTCCACCGAAGGCCCCGGTAAGGGGGGGCTACATGCGCCCCCCACGCCCAGGACAGCGTTTCGTGGCCCCATAGGGAGTTCCACCGAAGGCTCCAGAGGGGGTGCCACATGCGTCCCCCGCTCCCAGGACAGCGCTTCGTGGTCCCATAGGGAGCTCCACCGAAGGCCCCAGTGGGGGGGGCCACATGCGGCCCCCACGCCCAGGACAGCGCTTCATGGCCCCATAGGGAGCTCCACCGAAGGCTCCAGTGGGGGGGGGCCGCATGCGTCTCCCCCACCCAGGACAGCGCTTCGTAGTCCCATAGGGAGCCCCACCGAAGTCCAAGTGGCACAGTTCGCATGCGTCTCCCCCACCCAGGACAGCGTTCCTTGGCCCATAGAGAGTACCTCCGAATGCGATACTCACAACGACGGTATTCACAACTGCATATGGTTGTGTCCTTCGCCAGGCTAATTTTCGTTTGCTTGTTCGGTGCGGGCGGGCGCGGCCTGTTCCTCTGGGCGCAGCCGACAGGAGCGGTCAGGGTCGAATCGATAAATCGAATGAGATCGGAACGTGCATCGAATCGATGCCGCACCTGCACGGGTGCAGAATCGAGTTTGATTCGCCGCGCCAGGATGCGCAACAGCGCCGTGCAAGCAACCAGCAACATCGCATCGTCGGACTGCAAGAGTCAGATCGGATCGAACCGGCGGAAGCCGATATCGACTCGGACAGAGCTTAATGAAATGTGCCCTGAATGACCACTCGCTTATTTCGATGACCACGAACAGGACAATGATCTCCGACGTAGTGTTTGATTGTTGTTGTGAGCTGCGGGCGTGTGCACTGGGCCGAGGACCGCGTCTGGGCCCCAGAGCATTACCGATGCTTGCCAGCGTGGGGTCCTAGGCAACGTTGATGTCCTCGCAATCCAAGTGGTGCAACCTCGGTGGTGCGATCAACGTCGCGCAACCTGGGTGCTGCAGTCCATGTGGTGCAATATGGGTGGCTCGGCTCGACGCAACGCAAAGCAATGCAGAGCGTGCAAAGCGATGCAACGCAATGCAAGACCATGCAAAGCAATGTTAAACAATGCAAACAAAAATCCGCCGAGCCTGTGGGCGTGTGTGAGGGGCTTGTCTGTTCATTTCGTCTCCGTTTCCACGGGCCCGTCGCCGCTCCCACCCTTTCCCTCGGCCCTCCTCCTCCAGCGCGCTGAAGTTGAGCAGCGTTAAATGATTTAAATCGAAGGGGAACCCCTTCCATTTGATCCCTCCCCCGCCGGGAGGGGGGGGTCCCAGGGGGGGGTCCTCGGTGGGGGGGGGGGTCAGATGCGACGCCCCCCCGGGGGGTCCCAGAACCCAAACAAAACCCGACAAGCGCTAAAATTACTCCCAAGAGGACTTCAAGATCTTCCAAGAGAGCCCCGAATCGCCGAACGCTCTGTCCATCGCGCCTCGACGGTTTCCAGACCGCCCACGAGGCCTGCAAACTGGCCCAAGCAGTGGTACATTCAATGATTTTCCATGCGTTTTTGAAGGATTTTGGCGTTCTGGCCCTTCCCGACGCTCCAAAGTGGCCCAGGACGCCTCCAACATCGCCCCAGGACAGCCCCAGAGGGCGCCACGACTGCCCAAAACGCCTCCAACGCGGCCTCAGAGTTTCTCAGGACGGGCGCCCAGAAGAGGGACCCGAACAGAACTTTCAAGGCGTCGGCCACGAAAAACTCCCGCCAGGCTCCCAGACGTTCCGGAAGAGGCCTCTTCGAAGCCCCCAGGACCTCCCAAGAGGCCCACCTCGCCGCGACAAATCGCCGCGAGCTGGATCGTTAACCGGAACGCGAGCCCGTCGACCCCAATCGCGAACGGGATCGCGAGCGGGTGGAATCGAACCGGGAGCCGGATCGCGGGCGCGATTGTCCTCGCGCCCCCCGAAGGCGCCCTAGATCCTTTGGCGACGCAAGGAGGTCTGGAAGGGCATCCGCCCCGCCGCCATAAAAACCCTCGCCGAATTACCATGCTCTTCGCCTCCTCCTCCTCCTCCTCCTCCTCCTCCTCCTCCTCCTCCTCCTCCTCCTCCCCCCTCCTCCTCCTCCTCCTCCTCCTCCTCCCCTCCCCTCCTCCTCCTCCTCCTCCTCCTCCCTCCTCCCCTCCTCCTCCCCCTCCTTTTCTCCTTCCTCCTTCTCCTCCTCCTCCTCCTCCTCCTCTCCTCCTCCTCCTCCTCATTCTTCTCTCCTCCTCCTCTTCCTCATCCTCCTCCTCCTTCTCCTCCTCCTCCTCTCCTCCTCCTCGCCCATCCCCTCCTCCTCCTCCTCCTCTCCTCCTCCTCCTCCTCCTCCTCCTCCTCACCCTTCCCTTCCCCCCCTCTCCTCCTCTTCCTCCTCCTCCACCCCTTTTCCTTATAGATAACTCCTCCCTGTCGCACCCCGAGGCCAGTTTTTAGGGCGGGCTGGGCGTTTCGCCTGAGGTTTCCTCACCATGACTGTGAAGCTTTAGAAGTGACAACAGTTTCACAGATGGAGGGCGGGTCGTTTTCAAAATGTGGTTCTCGCCCGGGCGCTGCGCACATTCGCATTCAAACTTTGCAAGGGTTTCACGGATTGAAGGCGGTTGGTTTTCAACATGTGCCTCTCGCCTTAGCGCCGCGCAAATTCGTTCTAAACATATGCAAGAGCTTCGAGGATTGAGGGCGGGTCGTTTTCAACATGTGGCTCTCGCCGTAGCGCCGCGCACATTCGTTTCAAACATGTCCAGGGGTGTCACGGATTGAGGGTGGCTCTTTTTCAACATGTGGCTCTCGCCTTAGCGCCGCGCACATTCCTTTTCAACACTTGCAAGAGAGTTTCACGGATTCCCATGAACAACGTACCAGAGATTGTGTGTTTGGAAGAACCTACGATTTTGCAGGCGCAACAAATGTGTTGATTCGCGGTGTTGGAATCCCAAAAAAAAGCGCTCTGGCACGATTCCGGATCGTCAAGACGCAGCCGTCAGGTTGATAAATGGCGTTGAAATCTCGAGAACACTGTTTTGACATGCTTCAGAATCTTTATTAACTGTAGCGAGGGAGCGCCCTCTATGGAAATGAACCGCTGTGGGGGCCCATGAAGGAGCTTGGAGGGAGTGTAAATTCCAACATCGTTGATGACGTTTGGTCTTACCCTGGTCCTTTTCCTCCTCCTCCTCCTCCTGCTCCTGCTCCTGCTCCTGCTCCTGCTCCTGCTCCTGCTCCTGCTCTTGCTCCTCCTGCTCCTCCTGCTCCTCCTCCTCCTCCTCCTCCTCCTCCTCCTCCTCCTCCTCCTCCTCCTCCTCCTACCCTTCCCCCTCCTCTTCTCCTTGGCATCCGCACCGCCGTCGCGAAACCCTCGTCGAGCCCCCCTGCGGTCTGCGCCCCAGCCTCCCCCAAGGCATTCTCGCGAAATTGCATGGCGCCAGCGCGCGAGCCCCGAAGGGCGAAGAACAGCGGTGCCGGCAGGGCAAGCCGGGGCCCCGTGGTCCTCCTCAGTTTTCGTTGACTGTTCGTCGAATTCTCGATGGACGCTCGATCCACAGCAATTATTCATCGATTTCGGCCTCCAAGGGCCGTTTCGGGCACCAGGGCCAGCAGAAACGAACCCGGAATGCGAAACGAGCCCTGGAGAGTTTCCTTTTCCTCCTCCTCCTCTTCCTCCTCCTCCTCCTCGCTCGCTCGCTCGCTCGCTCCTTGGGGCTTAAAAGTTTGAGCCCGTGCCAGAAGATGGAAAGGTAAAGATCACGCACAAAATTCCGAATTCATGCGCGAGGAGGGGGGTCAGGGCGACCCCAACATAGGGGCAGCCAGCGAGTCCCCTTCAGAGTGCCCGACTGCCACTCCAGGAAAAGGCGGTCCTGTCGGCGAGGGGGTCGGGCCAGGGGTAATACCCGACACCATGCCCCAGGCGGCCTCCCCTCCCCAGCACGCGTCCAGATTCGTCTTCTGGACTTTAGGGTCGTGGGTGAACACTATACCGTCCCCCCATTGGACTCCTCCTGTGACCAGACGTGGGACCTCATGCAGTGGCTGTGCACCTGAGGG